GAAACGTCTAATAACGGTTGACGTTCATTGGCAAGCGACAAGAAGTTGTGCCAGGAGGAATTTTTAGTAATCAGACCGTGCAATTCTTTCCTACAATCAATGTCGTACTCGTACGATGGTTTTTTTTTTTTTTTTTATTATTATTTTGACTCGCAACTTCAAATTTCAACAATAGTAAAAAAAAAAAAAAAAAAACGAAAATAAAATTTTCTTCGAAGGAAAAAGACGAGTAAAAATTTTGTACATTATGTGAGAGTTTTAGAGGAACAGAAGGTCAAGGGGATTTAAATTCAGGGGTCTGACCCTTCGACCAGAGTCCCTTGACGTTTGAAGCCAATATCGCCAAGGGCTGAATTCCGTAGCAAATAAAATTCTTTCATCTCTGATTTTAAAGGTTCCTCCCCGGCAATAAACTTCGGATTCATACAGATTACGAATTCTTATAAGTCAGGGTTTCTTCCTGATAGACTTGTAAATGTCACGAGTGAGATATATTTTTTGAACGAACTTTACGTAAGAACTTTCCCCGCTCGTTCAGTTTAAACGACGCACTTTTAGAAACTGTTCCACCAAGAATTAGATTCCAGCCTCGAAATTCATTCTTCGTTGATGCATTGACATCTACGTTTTTTTCTACTTTTTTTTTTACCACAAAAGGTAATTTAGTTTTAAATAACTGTGTCCTTTTAAATATATTCAAATCTCAAATTTTTTTAAAGAGGGAAGAGGGAAATTTTCCATTTAGACCAATTTCCCACCGAATGAATATTCAAATTGGTTTCAAAAGTGAGTAATACGTGCCGGGAGCAAAGGTACATAATCTCGAGTCGTGCTTTTCATCTCCCAAAGGACCAAACCCGTGGACCGATATGCACAATTAAAACGTTTACGTGATAAGTAGAGTCTCGTGTTAACGTGATAATGAACCGCCGCGTCGAAACGACCGGGACGATTGTGATCGACGATTACACGATATAGCTAACTGTCATGGCGTCGATCAATCATCGTCCCAGCAGGGACGCCACGTGACTCCCGGAAAAGTCCCTAGATCCTTGTCTAGATAGTTTAATCGCCACGACGATTAATCGTCGTCGAGAGAATTTACTGATCCGAAGTAGCAGTTTGTAATAAGTTAATTGTTGTTTCATTCGAAGAAATAGTCCGACGTACTATAATATGCGACGTAACGATATATATATATATATATATATATATATATATATATATATATATATATATAATTCGCAACTTAATACCAGCGACAAAATATGAAACGTATCAGAGAAATTAAAATTAAATTAAATTTTCAAAATTCGAGAAATATTAATTTTCCTATCGATGCTCATTAAAATCTTTTTTTTTTTTCTTCTTCGTCCTATCCTAAACGCCATCTATAATGACCCCTTTCTTTAAATCGTGCGCTGTATTAAATGATGAATTGCCAATTATGCAAAGGGAAATGTCACAGCTAGATGATGTCAGACTGATGAATTAAAATGACGTTTAATCGATACGACTGGAATAAATTAATGTGCCGAACACGAAGATACTGAATCAATTAGATTACTGTTATCCAGAAGAGAATCAGAGTTTCATTAGCGCGCAGTGTAATTCATGAACGGTACTGCCGTTTCCAATTATTATCATCGCGTGCTATTAGGATTCGATTTGTTTTCTGGTAAGTCAATTAGAAATTTGATCGTTCTGCAGTTTTGCTATCGATGTTTCCCTTTTATCCTGCCGAATTTTTCAAAGGAACACATATTTCTGGATTAAATTCAGAATTTTTGTCGGAATTTTTGAAAATTCTAGAGTCTGCAACTCGGGAAATTAGACATCAACAGCTTTGAAAATTCCAGACTTCCAACTTGGAAAGTTTTCACTTTTAAAGAACGACATACGAGAGCCAAGTGAAATTTTATAGACTCAATTGTCAAACGACATCGACGAAAGAATTTAACGAATGCAACAAAATGAAGCGAAAGGAATCAATGTACGTCGAAATGAAATGCAATTTTGAACAGAGATTCCAGCTATATTACAAATCGATGATATACAAATGTTAACAGTCGAAGTTATTGAAGGATAAGCTCAATTTAAATAATGCAGCACACGTTTAAATATGTTCTCATTACCATCGTGCATTTCATTACACAACATGCACAAAGAATGAGGAATTAATTACAACGGAATGAAATCACCGTTTATGCACGCACGTAGAAAAGAAATACCAGTTTAAATACGTAGTGGAATTTCCAATAACCATATTTTCAATACACGTGTCTAACGTGTTTGATGTATTTCAAGTACGCAAATAACCTAAAATCCAGTAGCTGCTAATTTGCACAATAATTAATTCTTGGATTTTCAATTTCAATCACCCTCGGGAATAAACAAATATTACGAACTCAAAATAAAGACTTGAAAACCTCGCGAGTCAGACGTAACACCATCTCAACGCGTAAACTTTTCACTTTCGCGATTAGTCGCAACGAAGAAAGAAAGTCCCTAGATGAGAAGCAATTGTTCGTTGCAAAGATACGAGGAGGAATCCCCTCTCTGTTTTCGGGAAAGCCGAAGACGAAGAACAGACGATTTTCACGAACTGTTGAACTCGGATCAATAAATCTCTCCCCACTGTTCCCCCCACATAGGGAACATTGTGCGACGAAAAATGCCCGTCGTCACGTGATTGCTAGCTAACGACGTTGGTGATCAGCTGAAACGCCCGTTCGCCCAACAACGAAACGCGATATCGCTATCGATTTTCAAAATTTTTCATCTAATGGCAATTACTCGCATTGGCGTATGTATTTACAAACGTATTTACAAATCGTTTCGCAGGCTGATATGAGAGAAAGAGAAAGAGAAATAAAAATCGAAGTTCATCGATTTTTCTTTTTTTTTTTCCTTTTTTCTTTTTTACTTGTTAGCTCGCGAGAGCCGCGAGCTTGATCTAACTAAAGAGCTGGGCCGACATTGAAGTTTGGAAGCAGTATGGGGATTCATTTCTGAAAATTCTACGAATCATTTTTGGTTGACATTTAGATTTAATTTAGATGTGTATATATATATATATATATATATATATATATATATATATATGCATATATAAAATTTACATTCAATTATTTACACCGTGAGATTTACGCCCATTTTCTTCGAGCGTAGAAACAATTTAGAAAAATCTTCGTATCTCCAAATGTAGACGAAACTCTTGAGCAATTTGTGAAATCAGATTTTTTTTTACAAAATTTCTACGTTTCTAAATGTAGGAAAAATGTGTCGCAGCAATTGAAGAAACATCGCAAACTCGCGTAATTTACGTGATAGTAAAAGAGAGTTAACGTTTTTACTTCCAAACTTTTTAATCGGCATCGTTCGAATACGACATCGAATCGATAATCGCTCGTAACGTTTGGAACGGTTCTCTGTGCACTTCTTAATTAATCTGTTTTGTTTCCTTTGGTAATTTTATTTACAAATCGACTTAATCTTATGGCAGAAGACTTCAGATAAGCGGCTACGACGATATTTACAGAAAGCTGGTTCGCGAGGTTCGATTGATCACTTCCGACTAACGTATCCCAGATAGAACTTTGTCTGTTTGATAAATAAACATGATGGTAACACCATCCGTTCGAAAATTACGAGTGAAAGCTGAGCTCAGATAGAAAGAAAGTTTTTATAAAAGCGTCAGTCAAATATTCTAACAGCAATAAGGCTAGGACACTTGAAAAATTAGCTAAGAAATATAGGAAATAAGAAATATTTGTAATTCGTAATCAGTTAAAAAAAATTCCGACGAAATAACAATAGTAGAAAAATAATTCTCCCGAAGAAAATTTTCAATAAACAAATAACAGTAGTAAAAGAACGATCGCCAATGAAAATTTCAAGTGAAACAATTTTGCTACAATGAAATTTCAAAATTCCAAGTGAACCTCATTGTGATGAAATTTTAAATGAATTCTAGAATTCCACGTAAATTTTATTGTAATAAAAATCACTTCTAACGAGAGACTCAACGAATCTTCAATTAGGCTTCATCGAAACGTTAAAAACGAAACCTGTTCTATCCAGGACGGGATTATCAATGCAGAACAAAAGTCTACACTCCACAAATCACGCAACATTCCTCATACTTAGCATGTATATACCTTTCAGTTTCCCCTCGAAACTTTTAAAAACCTTCACTGTTCCTCCGCAGAGAGAACGCCCGAAAAAAAGTCGAGAACGAGCAGCAGACGTCTACGAAGCAGTATTTATGGTTCCAAGCTTTTAAAAACTGTACGTTTCCCGCGCTTCGACGCGAAAATGGCGGGAAAGCAAAGTCGTGTCTGGGGAATTCCCTTCCTTCAATTCAAAGCAATTTCCTCGTTCCTTTGACCGCACGTTCTTCCTTCTCCCTTCGCGGAAAGCTTCGATTTCTCCAGACAGAAACGCGTCTGTTTTTCTTGTGCACTTGTTTAAAACTGAAAAGAGTTCGACTTGTTAATTAAAGTTGTTCTTGTATTTATCTTCATTTCCTCGCGCGTGTCACCGTGATATCACAAATTTCCTTAGACCACTAAATCGAAAAAAAACCACATGCACGAAAAAAAAAGAAGGGGAAAAAAAAGAGGAGAAATTGTCTCGTGTCCGGTTGCTCGTTAACTTATATTTACAGAGCCAGCAGGTTTGTTAAAGCCTCTGTCCAATCGTACAAAATCACCCCGCTGGAAAACAACCGCGCGGTGAGGAACTTTTGTTCCAATTCGACGGGCGAGCAACGGAATTTTAAATGAAAATACATCACATGGAATAAGGGAACTGTGTTCCAGCTTAATTTCTGTTTTCCCGATTGATTTTCCATTCCCGTCGAGGGAGAGAGAGTTGTTGTTTGCTTTAATTGAAAAAAGCAGGCGACGTTATTGTTCGAAATGGAAATTTTGACAGTTTAATAGTTGGCCGTTGTAATGTTATGTTAGGAAGTTCCTTTCTGTTCTTTCTCTTTTTTCTTTTAAACATAATTTCCAAATCAATTCTACAAGGATAAACTTGGCTCATTTATACTTGAGTTTGTGCAACAATTTATTACAAAGTTGCGGAATGTTATTAATTAATCGAGTTAAAATTCAACAAAGAAGAGCTTCGATTGAATATAATACAGGAAACGTGAAAATAGAAAATTTAATAAAAAGTTGTCCTATTAAATGTAATTGTAAAAAGAAATTATGGAAGAAGAGGATTCGTCTGGTATTTTCAAGTGAAAAAATTAAGACGAAGAAAGAAACAGGGACGAGAAGTTCCGTAAGAGAACGGTTGCCAACCTGTCCCCTTAGAAACAAATTCAATAAAGGCAAACGGGATGGGCGAGGGAAGGTTAGGGGGAATCCAGAACCGATTAGGGTGTCTTCGGTTCGAACTTGCAAACAGAATCACTGTAGGAAAGTTTCACTCGAAGTTCCTTCAAATAACGATTAAAGCACCAAACGAGAGAGATAAAAGAGAAAAAAAAGCGCTGCTAAACTCTTATCTAGGGAAATTCGAGCGAACAAATGAGAAAAAGAGGATAAATAAACGGTAAATGAATCTAGGAACATCCTAACTTAAATGACGCTTAATCAATTCTCGACGAAAACTAAGTTAGAACAGGAGAACTGGTTCTAGGGAATTTTTCTCACGTCGATGCCACATCGGTTGCTTCGTCGGACCACTTTGTTTAACTTTCAGTCTGCAATTAATCGTCGAAAAGTGTACACCGACAGTCGAAATTGGACACCAAGAAAGTACAAGTGTCACGGAAAACAAAACCCAGCACGAAATCCCCAAAACAAGGTTCCCAGTCCCTCGACACACTTACATCACATTTAGTTTCACGTTCTTCACAACGGGTACAGGTAACTAGGGAATTTTTAGCTCGAGTTTTCACTGAACCAATTCTGGCCCACTATTTTTACACAGTGACTTCCTCGGAGAATCTGCTTTTGTCATCCAGATTGATGACTATAGCATGCGTCCTCGCGTGGCCGGATTTGCTCTTGCCCTTGTCCCGTTCCCTAACCTCACTCTCTTTGTCCTCATGTTTCGTTTCCGTTCCAATGTCCTCGGTGGCCGGCCTGCCGGAAGTGGAGACCGCCACGTCATTGGTCCTCGTTGATTTCTTCGCCTCGACGGAAACCAGAACCTCAGCTTCCTTGGAGGAGCCCTGGTCCTTGCTTCGAATCCCGTTTTTTTCCACGCAGGCCTGGCATCTCTTCTCCTCCTTGGTCTCTCCACCTGGACACACGTTTCGTTCGGTCACGAGTCACGCGGTTTGCTTTCTTTTTCTTCCTTTCTTTAATATTATTTTCGATTCTGCCCTATATAATCCCTTCAAGCTGAATGAATGTAAATTAAAAAAAAGAAAAGATCTAGAAGCTTTCTTTAATATTATTTTCGATTCTGCCCTATATAATCTCTTCAAGTTGAATGAATGTAAATTAAAAAAAAGAAAAGATCTAGAAGCTTTCTTTAATATTATTTTCGATTCTGCCCTATATAATCTCTTCAAGTTGAATGAATGTAAATTAAAAAAAAAAAAAAAAAAGAAAAGATCTAGAAGCTTCATTGTGCTACTTTTTTTCGGTAATTGTTTCTGGTAATTTTCTAGCATGAAAATTAGCAAAAATTTCCTTACCTTTCTGGTCAGCATCACTTTTAAAGGATCCGCCAACGCTTGTTTCGGCGATTGTCGTCGATCCGTTAAGATCGTTCAGCCTCATGCTGGAGGATATCGCCTGTATGGTGGATACTTGTGTCTCAGCGCGATTCGCAGCTTCCTGCATGGCTGTCAGTTTGCTGACCAAATGATGATTGCCAAGTAGAACATTCTTCTCCTTTAAAATTTCTAACTGATTGATGAATCGACGGAATTCCTCCTGCGAAAAGAAGAGAAACTAACCCTTAGAAACAACATTCTTTCTGGGAAAAAATTTTGGGCGAAAACAACTAAAGAACTCTTCATCGTAAATTATATTCCCACTAATTTCAAATTTAATTAAAACGTAAAGTCCCTAGACTTCTCGTCGCAAATTACGTTCCCAGTTGAGCCTAATTTCAAATTTAATTAAAAGCTAAATTCCCTAGGCTCAAGAGACTGTAAGATAATATGTATTAAAAGACATATTTCAGTTTAAAATGTCTCTTGAGTCTAGTGACTTCTCCCTTGTGAACATTCTGTTGTCTTTGCGCAGAGATTAAAATGGCACGTCGTTTGGTGCGACAAAATGTACATAGAGTGGGAAGTAACAGTTCCCAGCGTGCTTATGTCAGTTTTGCGCGAGGTTAATATGAGAAAAAAACATACTAAGTGACCACTATTGTTACAAGTGTTTGATAAAAATTCTATAAAATGAAATGAAATATGTAATATCCAAGAGGATGTAACATTTATAAAAAATAATTAAAAAAATTTATTGATTTCAAGTGGGAAATTAATTGAAAGTTATAATAAAAAAGTTTAGATATTTTCTAACATACTAGAGCAGTGTAGCCTATTTTAGTTATTAACAACATGAACGACAGCATTTTTTACACATTAATATAAATTTTTCCTTTCATAACACGTTCAATTTCAAAGTAATTTAATTAGTATCTATTAGTATGAATAGCATTCAAAGTGTGGGTCACGTTAATTGTTTAATGACTCCAAAATTGGGCTTTTTTTTTAGGTCTTTTAACCGGCTGAAGCTGAAGCTCGAAGCTTTCACTGGTTTAATTGGTGGTGCGCAGTTTTCAACGTAATCGTTAACCCAAATTCCCTAGTCCACCCACGATTGTCGCTCCATTACTTACTTACTTATTGTTAGAGAACAAATTGATTCTTCTTTAACATTATTTAAATTTACATAACATCGCGTATGTATAAAATCTTATGAAAGAATTAGAACTAACAATTTTTCCAACAATTAGAAAGACCACAGTTTTTCATTTTTCATTTTATTCTGTACATTGTTTCTCATTTCCTTTTTTTCCTGTATATTATTATATCTCATGTTATCGTTTATTTTCTGCTTATTATTTCAGCACAGAAGATGAATTTTTTTTGTTTTTGTTGGACTAATAAAATGAAATCTTAAGTTGTTAAGTTGGTTACACTTTCAAGAAGAACTTAACCTTAATATACGGCGCGCATTTCAAAACTTTAAAAGGCAGTTCCACTGAGTTGAGAACGGAAAATTAAAAAATAACGTTCGATCATTATTCACCACAACTTATGCCTTTCACCAACGTTGTATGTTTCGTAAATAAATCTTTTGCCAGCTTCTAAATAATTTCACGCTTTTTCTGGGAAATTCGTTTCCAGTTGTGCCACTTTTAGAACTCGTACGTTCGTATATATTTTTTTACTAGCTGATAATGAAATTTAATCGAAGAAAAACATATTAGTATAATTGATATATAAAATATATTAGTATATATTAATTCTTTAATCGAGGAAAAATATATTAGTACACTGACATATGAATTCTTTCAAGTACTGTCTTTCTCTGCTAGGAAAATGTTTGTAATCTTCATCGAAAAGATAATAAAAAGTCGATCACAATTACAAATTAAAATACGTGGTAGTACTTTGTAAAAGAAAATATTTACAGATCATCAATCTTTCCTGAACAGTCCCTTTGAAGTCCTCTATTTACCATCTACAGGCGTCTTAGAACGAAATACTGGATACTCCGTCTCCGTGATTCAATAATGAAACGCGTCGTTTGTCATTTACAATTTTATCGTGGCCGTTTGTTTCTTTTTCGTTTGTCTACAGAGACATTATCCAGCAAGTTTACTCGCACCAGTGCTAAATCGGATTCTCTAATATTCGATGTCATAATTAACGCGGCATGGTGGCTTATTAATCGGCTTTTCGCACAATAGGGCTCGACGGTTCGATGCCTATTAATCGTTATTTGCCACCATAGTGCGTCGATGCATGGAGCGTTCTGATGTACATGCAAGTTCAATGAATTCTTGTCTGTAGGGAAGGCAACCATATGGCATTTAATTTTCGACTGTTTCGTCGTTTCTTTAAAACGTGAGAAAAATTCGCGATTAAAAATTCGGTCGCGATAAATCACGCAGAAAAAAAAAACACAAACAATATCTAAAAATATAACGCAGAAATATTGAATAATACTTAATATAATTTCATGTTCCTCTGTCTGTATTTTTCTTTAATCGCGATAAATATTATCTGTTTAATACTCGCCTTCTCCGATGGCAATTAGAAATGTATTTTTACAAAAAATTCTTGCACGTTATTCGATCTAATTAAATTCCCCCATTTAATGGCGATGCTTTTGAGAACTACTCTAATTAGTACGGGATTGAACGAAAGATTGCTCGAAGAGTAGGGGATCGTTTGAAAGAAGCCAAAGGAGTGGAACGAAGCACAGGAATGGATGTCGGCTTTCTGAAATAGTGAAAAGAAAGTGCCAGAAGGCAAGAAACAAGTTATTCATTGATAAATCAGATTCGACGGTGTTTTTGAAAGATATTACTGCTGACGATTAATTACTTTAAATGAAACATTGATTTCTCTCTATAGTTGTCAATTTTTTAATTACTTCGGCTTCTCTTTACAGCTATTAATCTTTCAATTTCATGTTCTCTCAATCTGTATTAAAAATCTATATTTCTCCAGCAATAAAAATTAATTAAATCTGTTAAAGCAAGGCAGCAATATTATTTTAAAGAATGAAACTTTCAAACCAAATAGTTTAATTACATATTTAGATACTCCGTTATTTTAATATTTGAAAATGTGGACACTTGAACGTTTGAATAATCGAGTACTTGATTTTACAATTTAAAAGCTAATAAACTGCAGCATTTCATTCGACAATAAACGATTCGGATCGCATATTCTCTGTAAAATAAACATCTTCAAAAATTCAGAAATGGGAGAGCTTCTCGGTTTAACGTTAATTATTCCAACATGTACACCATAAGTTGGCAAGTCTGTAGCAGGTTGACAGTAATGAGCGTGCAGCCTGGCTAAAAGCAGGGATTTAGTGTCATGTATACTAAGGTTTGAAAGGGGGAGCATCTCTCCCGACCTGTAGAGTTCGATAACGGCATATTAGTCGTTCCTATGAAAGCGGAGCCACAATTAATAGAGGATCAAGTAGTAGCAGGTTCAATACGCTTTCATCCCTAGCATACCTTCGGCCAAAGAAAGTCACTAAAGCGTTGCAGACCTGGTGTGAAATTTACCTTTCTTTTACAATTGACATTTCCCAGGAATGTATATAGTCTCTCTGCGAATCGAATCGTACATTCTCTTTACACTTTTAAGATTAAAATAGGTATACTTTTGGAATATTTTCTCCTAGGGATTTTTCCTAAGGATAAGTTTGTCGGAAGCATACATTATCAAAACATTTTTATGAAGAACGAGACTCTAAGGACCTTTAAAGTTTCCTAGAGACAAATAACTAAAAATATTCTCGCAAGAGTGAATGTCTAGTAACTTTTCTAGAAACAAAGAAAACTGCCAGATTCCTCGCAGAGACAGAGAGCAAAAAAAAAAAAAAAAAAAAAAGATCTCTGGGGTGAAGAAATTTTGGAAATTTTCTAGGGATACAGAATTAAAAGCAAAAGTTTTCAAAAAAAAAAAAAAATAAACGGATAAAAACATTTTTCTAAACGCATAGAGGTACTAAAATTCTGGCAGGGACAAAGTGACAGGGACTGTTTCCAGAAACAGGCGAATTTTTTCAAGCTGAAAAGGTTTCAACAAGAGTTTCCATTTTTTATTTTTATTTTTTCTTGCTTAGCTTTTTTTACGGGTCGAACGTTAACGAAACATATAACAGCACCACGTGTGTGAAGCGGAGCGGGCGACGCAAATTACAACCGCCGAAGGCAACGCTCTTCAACGATCGTGTCAAACGACAGGCTATAATCAGTAGTCAAATGTCAAAGCAGCCGACGTTCCACCGACTGTGTCTTTCGGGTCGACGTAATTCCCCTGGCTTTTAGCCAACGGCTTGGCAATCTCGCCGGTGCCCGGCGAAAAAACCTCCCCGCGAATGACATTTGTCTGTTGTAAACGGCGCGTTCCCTTTTGTTCCCGGCGTACACGTAACCAGGTCTGGGTTACACGGATTCCCTGAAATCAGCGACTCGTGATTTTCACCTGGCTGACCCCTTTTCCAGGACAACGTTCGCGTAAAGCACGAAACCATAGATTCGACATCCATTAGAGGTTATGTTTGATTCGCGTGCGAGTACGAAATTTTTCTAATTTCGCCCCAATTCACGCCGAGAGAAGATTAATTTTTTTATTTCTTTATTTTTCTACGTTCGGAAGATTTTCAGATTTTGAAATTGAACGTAAACTTATGGATGCATGTAGGTTAGGTTGATTTGTCGAGGGTACAAAATGGCGTCCAACAAGAAATGTCACGCTTGAAATCTCGCGAGGAGTAGTCAACGAAAGTTTATACGCCTAGTCTTTCACGAGTTCTCTCAGCAATGATACCAACAGATAAGATAAAACGGCCTCTGCTGAATTCAGTCCTTTAATAAGCTTATAAGGTATTACGTTGGGTTTACCAGTATAAGTTTCATAGCCTCTTTAACCGTCTCTTGGAAACTTCATTAGGAGGATCTGCTTGTTAAGCGGATTTCCTTTAAGGTTGTCCTTTATGAGACCCATGAAATCGATTATTTTTAATGACGACCGCTATCAAGAACACGGCGACTTAATTTTGTATGGATTATGACAATCTTGTAAGACGGACTGAAATCTGGGATGAGAGCTAGTTAACATCTGTTTCCTACATCTGTTCTACCCTGTGTCGAGAGGTACAGAATATTGTTCACAGTGGTAGTCAAGACTATAAAAAGTAGGAAGACAAAGTTAGGATTCTAGTTGGAAAGTTTAGAAAGCATTTTTCTCAAAAGAAGCTACATGTGACATAATCTACAAATTTAAATTCCAGCTCCCTGAATATCCAAATATTTAAAATTTGAACATTTTTCACAGTGAGATGTTTAAATTTTCCTCGACAGAGTGAAGAAATCCAAGAATAAACTTTCTCGAATTTGCTTCATTTTCAAGAATGAAACACTATCAGCAACAAGTCACAAAATTATTCTCTATGTGTCTAAAAAAAAAAAAAAGAAAACTCTCAAACAAAACTGTCAGAAAAATAATAATATTTCGCTAATATAATATTTCGTCGGTAAGTTCTTTCAGGTTTTTCATCCAGTATTCTTGCATAAAAATTGGAGATTACGTGGCCCCGACACAATTCGAGCAGCAGCTTTTTTTCTCGTTTAAATAGGACTACTTTTACTCGTGTTCGTGATAGTTTACAATTCCTGAGATTTATCGTCCTTTTTAACAGGATACATTTGTCAGCAAGTTTTCTCGTTACTTGAACGTCTGACGCTTTCGCGACGTTTCGTTCGGTCTCGAGTTCTTTCGCGTTAGGTTAGGTCACACAGTCATTTTTCCCCTCTCTTTCTCTCTCTCTCTCTCTCTCTCTCCTCGAATGGAATCAGCACTTTCACAAAATTCTGTGTTTCGATCGGCAGGCGGAGATAATGGACGTTAACGGCGTAGCTGGTGGATTTACAGTGATTTCACTCGATTACGGGCTAGAATTAACGATCACGGAATCGTAAATGACGATCAGGATTGTACGCGAACGTATGATTCGATTGCAGACGATCTGCTGAATATATTATAATTATGAAAATTGTAATTATGAAAATATTCGTTGTCAACGTGTGATACAGACGAATAACGCGTTTCGAGAGAGAATTTTGATTAATCGACGCATAATTGTTTCGTAACGACTGCTGTCAAGTTTATCAGCCATGATGCAGCACTATCAATGCACGCCGAACGTCAATCAACATGATTTTCACTCGTATTTGCAGCATGTCTTCGAGAAATCGTAATTACATTGTCGTTATGTTTACAATATAACATATAACACGTGCACGAAATGTATTTCAGAATTAATTAAAAAATTCCAGTATATTGCAATTATACTAACTTTGCCATTTTACAACTCGTTGATAAGTTTCGTATATGGAAAGTTCCTTCAAAAAATTTAAAGACTTGACATAAAAAAAAAAAGTAAAGTAAGTAAAAATATGAAGGTTATAGTAGTTAATGCTCATGTGGCGCTAGTATCGCTTCGCGCGTTTCCCCTTATAACGTGAAATTACTTCTAGGTTATTTGTTATACGAAAAAATGATTCAGATATGATTGTACGGTATTGAAGCGGTCATACAATGTAATTGGACTGCGGGGTTTTATGTAAATTTGTATTATATCGTGTCATGATTAAAAGAGCGGACCCTGAATTATGAAAATTTCTTTCACCTGTTAAATATTGTAACAAGCACTTTGCCTGTATGTTATAAATAATTTGGTATCGTTAAATTTTAACATCTGCAGTGTAAATACAATAATTGGACTTCATTAATTTTCTCATTTATATGAAGACATGAAAGCCATTTGAGCTTTTAAGGTATAATTTGAATATCAGACGTTGATTAAAAAGCTGTTAACATACACGCGTGTTAGTATAACATGATATAATAACGCAGAATGATTGCTTATTTTAATATGAACAGCATAGTGTAATAACATACAGTCACAGAATTTTGTTATGCTATTTTCTTAAAATAACCCAATATTATCAATATAAAATTTTAGTAGGAATATTTTTATTCTTATTTTCACATAGAAATTTAATATTCAAATTTAACATCTTTGCCACAATATTTTAATTATAAATGTTAATTTTATCGTAGTATGTTACATTTAAGCAATTAAATTTACATATTCATTCACTTCTGGCGAAATTTCTACTAACTGTTGAAAATTAATTTCATTCTAATATCCTATTCCAGATGTTTCTGATTTCAAAGAGTTACGATCAACTATTCATTTATTTATTATTTTCTAAAATAAGTTCTTGACCACAACTTTTGCGCCACCCTGTAGAATACTGGTGGAATTACCGTTACCCAAGTCACGAAAATCCGGCGAGAATTTATGTAACATGGAAAGAAAGGAACAGCTGATATCTAAGGATATATACATGCATAGAATCACGCGAACGTGCCATTAAAGACATATTTTGTCGCTGGTTCGACTCGCGATGGGAATTTAAATCAGATCCTAGTGTTCCCCTCGGTGTACAACCTGCCGCAACAGTGGGACAGGACACGTGTCTCCCTCTTCTATTTCGCAGTCTCATATTTCACGCTCAATCGACTTGACACGCGACCAGTTTAAGAGGGTGGACATTTTTTGGCAAAGAAATATTTATCGTATCGAATCAATTGCTTTAAACACTGTACATATTATCATATTAAGAGGACATAACTATCCTAAGTCCAAGTTTTTAAAACAGGTGCTTTATTTTAGTACTGTATTCATTTAATTAGAATAATTGTCTCATGAAATTTCAAATATATGACACTTGTAGAGTTTCAAAATTTGTAGAATTTAAATTAAATTTATATTTTTTTAGATATATTCTTCTCTGTATATTTATTTACAACTGTCTGTAGAATGAGCAACTGTCTCTGTTGTATTTCTACAGTAAGAAAATTCGTTTCTCAGTATTTAATAATGTTTTCCTCCCTGATTTCATTAGTTTTTAATTTACAGTTCCAACTTTCTCTCAGATTAAGAAACGCAAATTGCAGGAAACATAACCTCAAAACTTTATACTGATTCTCGCCTAAATTGACCAATCGCGTGTCTACAGTATCTTTGTCAATGCTGCCCTCTATCGATGCTCCGTAATGTAACCTAATGCCAGCTATTAAAGTGCATTTCACTCCTCACGTTATAAAAAGGTTGTTCCTTTATTTGTATGCTTTTTATATTATATTCTTATATGTAATTATCTCAACCCGAACATAACTTTGTACTCTAGTTGGAGACGATACAGCGTAGTACAATACAAATTAAGGCATCAAGTGGTGATACGTTGTGAGATAACCACACTCAGGGATATAATTATTTAAAGGAGAATTTTCTAAAAGCAACATCTAATTTCAGGAACATCATACATTTTCCAACCCTTGACATTTATTAAAATTTTAATAAAAATTTAAATCTGCGTTAAAAAAACTAAGCTTCTGGCAAATTTGACGAAAGAACGATATTGTCCTCAACTTTGTATAACGAAGCATTCTCTATATTAGAAGCACTCATAGTATTCGGATCTCTGTGACAAGTTAGAATGGGGTGAGATCTGCAAACGTTGGATATTTCTGATCCTAAGAAAAGCGTCTGGATGAAAGTTGAGAGAAGGGATTGAGCAGATAAAAGTATTCTTACCGTTGCACCATCGCTCTCGTCTGTGAAGTTTCCTTGTTGAAGGGATATAGAATTTGTTTGGTTGCTAGTGCCTGTTGGACGACTGCTTTTCCCTAGAAATTTCCCAGTGGCTCCGGAATGTTTCGAGTCTTCTTTGCCTCCGCTACGAAACACTACGTAGACCTACATTAAAACAGTCAAATTTTAGTGTTTCGATTCTTCTTTTCTTTTTTTTTTTTTTTTTTTTTTTTTATTTTTTTTTTTAGAAATTTCTAGTTATCATCTAGTTATCTGAGCAAAAGAATATGCTGCATTTTATTTAATTTCATTGACTTTATAATTAGTTAACAAGTCCCTGGATTTATTAGATATTTTTATCCAAAAATTTTACTTTTGCTCAACAGCAAGAAACACAATTTAATCTAACCTCTATATTCATCAGATTTTTAGTCAGTGCTATCTGAGAATTATTTAACTAGATTATGACAATTTATCTAGTGACATTTCAGAATTCTGATACATAACGATATTTCTCATTAACAGAAGTGGTGTATACTTCTGCCCCAGAAGTTCTCGTTAGATTTATAGTTAATATAATGCGATTCCTAATCCATTTTCCTCCTTGTTAACACTAGCAATTCGGTCTCAATTGTCTGGTGACATTTTAGATATAACTGTTAACAGTAACGGTATAGCCAAAGTGCTACATGTTATCTCTTGACTTCAATTTCTGTTAAATATAGAATGTCGTTTCCACGCATACGTTATTAAAATAAATCCACTTGTTAAATAAAACGGCGCTTTTCGTGTTAAGTATGGAACAGGCACGCCGTATCAATGCTAAACGGCTTTAAACGAGAATGTCACTAAGCAACTAATGAATATTGAATTTGTGTGGACGTATTCTCGATGTTGCATAATTCCGCGGTCTTGTCTCTAACGCATTCATCCGTCGAATCAATGGCGGCCAGGAATATTAGGTTAAAGGGAAGAAAGGGAATTATGAGGAACTGCGCTTTTGTCCCATGTCAACGTATTTCCTGAACTTCGCAGTCGTCGTACCCCGGGACAAAGAATATTGTAGCTTGTTACTCGACTAATTAGTTCGGCTAACGCGATTAATAAGAAATAAATGAGGTACGGTAATTCCTAATAAGCTGGAAGTACCATTAACCGTAAATTCCCCTTTGATAGACTTAATTTTGTATCGTATAATCGTAATCGTACTTCATATTACGTTGAAACAAAATGTCGCTACAGTGTTCCAGTTGAAGTGTCAGTTTTTAATATTTTCAACGATCAGCATGTTTTGCTATTAGACCAGCACGATCTAATTGGAAATACTGCAAGTAGAAACAATGGGGATATTTATTTATTTCACTAGAAACTGGATATTTTAACTAGTCTTCATCCATATTTCATTTTTTACTCGTACACCTCTTTGATTTTATTTCACGTGTATGCTTCTTATTTATTCACTGAAAATTAATATTCTTCGAATATTTGAATCTTTTGCAGTTCCACCGGTTTGAACTACCCAATTGTTACCAACAGAATTCACTATACACCGCAAAATCACTAGGAATTAGAAAAAAAAAAAAAAAAATTATGGCCAAAGAGACTGTCCTATGTAATTTACGACCGCGCCTTCCTCACACGAATAATTCAGTAGCATCTTTCTTCTTGCAGGGTTATCGAATTAGAAAAAAAAAGACAAAAAAAAAAAAGTATGGCGTTTTATATTCAAGCTTCGACGTCGAACAACTTTCAATTTAAACGCGGGAATCGGTGGCTCGGGTATGGGGGAATTGGACCGAGATGAGGGAGGGGGAGCGGGCGATTTTTCATCCTGGCTACGACCGGAAATAAATTAGACCACGGCTGTTCGTACACAACTATTTTACAAGTTCCAGCCGGAGCGCCAGCCGTTGCTTTCGAATGATCAATATGCACGCCGCGAGATAAATAAATTTCAGCGGGTTGGCCGCAGGCTTTAGAATTCGCGATCCGACCGGCGTCGTTTGTCACACGCGCGGACCGCATAAACGCGTGGAAAATAGAAGGGCCGATTCGATCTTACCTTGCTGCCGAATATCAGGCAGAGCAGCAACGTCACCGTTAGCTGAGTGTGACAGAAAAATATTAGGTAGAGTAGATCCGGATTTGCCGGCGACTGCAAGAACAACCTGCGAACAGAAAGATTGCGATCCCCTTTCAATATCGTCTTGGAGGAACGACCGAGTTACTTTTTTTTGTTATCTCTGCTCCTGTGTGTCTTTTTCTTATTCGGTTGTGTGAAATCGCATTAAACTTTGATTTACGTTATTTGGAAACTTGGTGTTTTATTACGGTTCACCTACATGTGCACGCCGGCGATTGATCGTGAAAGTTTCGAAAGAATTAGCAATCCATTAGAGACCAAAGTTGCACGAATGTGATATTTTATTTTATTTTATTATTGGGTTGGATTATGGAAGCAAATATTGGAAAGATTTATTTAGACTCCATCGTATAATTTTATAAAATTTAATTCTTACCTTGTTAATGGATCTGGCATCTTTACTTACATAGTAATTTTCTTACCGATTATTTTTAGCTTTGTCTAGTAATTGTTTATACTTTAAATAATTCCAACCTTCTAAGTATATCCATAACTTTTAGTCTAATATAATAATAATCTTTAATACTCTAATACTCTATATATATAATCTTTAATATTCTAGATGTTTTAATAAACCTAGCTGCCTTCCACGAATAATTACCCTATAATCTGATATATCCCTAAATTCGAACTACCGTTGAAGTAGCAATCACTGAATAATTTAAGAACCGTTGATTCTCCAGTATTTTAAGCACGTGCAATCTCATCAAAATAGTCATGATAATTTGAGTGAACCTACAATTTAAATTCTATTCGAGCCTTACACTGCAAGTTACTTTAATGAACAAGCCAAAAAAAAATCTCATTAACTACCTAACCTTAATTTAACTTGCCTTATTTAACTTATCTCAACTGTTCCAGTCTTTTAGCTTAGTTTAGAATAGCTTTGTAACTTTTGTTTGAAAATGCTTTTCCAGGGAAAAGGACGACAAAATACACAGGTGCTTCTACCACCCGTGGTATTTTCGTTCAGCACTTAATTATGCGCATAATTATGGGCAGACATACGGAGCTGTGAAGTTAATGCAAAGCTTCACTCAAGTAACCTAACCGTTGATAGGAAGTGCAGTTTAGCGAACCGCAAGAAGTTGCAGAAATTCGTATATGTCGAACCCTTTTGAACGGGAAAAGGCAAACTTCGGTTCTTCCTGGAGGAAACCTCATATGACGGCCGAGGAAACTTTCAAATAACAGGGAAAGTTATAGCTCAGCCTCTGTAGATCGCAATAAACAACTCGTTGGAAAGCAATAAATCAGCCTTGCCCTACCTAAAAATTGCTTTCTAAATATTAACGACCACCACCTTCACAGATGGCGCCACTTTGAAACAGCTATTAATGTGGCCATCTTCAGAATGTGTTGGTCTAGAATGTTGGTCGAAATTTCTTTTTGCTTAGTGATTCTTGCAAACTATCCTAGTTTTAATTTGGGCTACTGAATTGTAGTTAAATGCACGTATATAAAGAGGAGAGAAAGACTGATAAAATTAATTAACCGAAGGTTTCTCCTTTAGCAAAATCCCCTTGATGATGTTCTATATTTGTGCCTCTGACCAGATAAGGGAACTGATCTCTGCTAGAGCTGTGGAGATGCCAATGTAGATTATTTACAAGTTTGGGGGTAAGGATCTCAGGCTAAGGGTACACCACTACTGATTACCCTAATCTGTGTTTTCAACAGAGTTAGAGACTTGAGAGACAAGTAAGTAATGATAAAGTGACAAGAAAAGCTTGGATAGTTAGAAGAGTTGTTCTTAAATTCTGATGATCATATTAGTCAATATTAACGAAGTGGATTAGTAATGAAATAATTGATTAACATAATTGATTTCAATCAATAAATGTTTTCTTTTTTCGAAAATTTTGTCTTTAATCTTATTTTATGAATCATAAGTAATTGTAAATTAAGCGTTCTGCTGTTAGAAGGTAATTACTGAACTTTAATACTCAATACTGCTAAATCTCTCGCAATTTTGTTTGAGAACAATTTTGTAAGTTCTAAATAGATAGAGGTCAACCATACTATCAAAATCTAATTAATAAACTTCTTTAACACCTGCTATTGCTAAATCTCTGAGGAAATTTTGTAAAATCAGTTTATAAATCTTAAACAGATATACCATCGTAATATCATCAAAGAACAGTTGATAAAGTTACATAATACTGTTGTTGCCTTCAAAATTTTTGTTACTAAACCGTTTTTACAAAATTTTTTCGAAGATCAATCTATAAATAAATCTATATAATTCATGTGACATCGAAATACTTACGATGTCAAGAATTACTAGATAGTGACACTCTTTAGTGACGAAAATCACTAGATATGTATTATTAGATAAATAAGCCCTATCGTGTACTCATAATAAATAGAAAATGTAAAGCAAAGAAAGTAAGAAACGAAGATTAAAACTTGAAAAAGTAATCTCGATAAATAAAAACGACAATCTTTATCTTTAATTCAAATATTCGAGTTGCTCGAAATAGTTCTAACCTCGAACTAGTTATCCAGAAGTAGTGACACTATTTACTGATGAAAGTCACTAGATAAATTACTAGACGAGTGAATCCCACGCTATATTTATAACAAACACAAGGGAAGCAGAAAGTAACGATTGAAAATTAAACGTGCAATCGTAATAAGTAAAATGTTTGAACGTAATTCGATGCGATTTCGAAAAAGACCTCTGTAAAACGCTTCACGGCTAACATTATTTCTACGGAACATGTGCAATAATGCCGAGGTATAACAGCTTCCGTTGTTCTGCTCCAGTTCGCGGCGAACACGGCCGAGTATCAGCGTAATACATTATTAAAATTAACGATTCGTGGATGGCTCGGTGTTTGCGAGCTTTCACAGATCTGTTCGAGGTATTAAATTCGACATTTCGCGATGACGTGCCCCTGCTTGTCCATTCACATCGCCGATTATTATCTTCTCGCTGGGAAACCGTTCTAAATCATTCTAAATACGAAAGGTCACGTTAAAATCCCGCGAAAATCTGGAAAAATATTCGGGTACGATGGTATTTTGAAATTGAATAGATTTTATTTCAAACAGAACGTAAAAGTCAAACAATTTCTTTTTCTATACTGGAGTTAAATAAATTATTTTTACATATGATTAATGGTTATTTTGGCTGAGGTTTTCTGAATAAACAATTCGGATTTTCAATATTGAATTTTGCATATATTTGAAAGTAAACAGGAGACAATATTTGCCTCGCGAGCTATCCTCGTTTCGATCATGTTTCAGTTGATATAATGAAATTGGAGATTATTTGAAAAATTATTTCGAAAAATATTTACATCTAGGGGATATGGCAGGACGAATTGTAAGAATTATTTTCTTGTTAATAAACATTGTAAATATAACTACAATTCTTCTCATTTTTTGGGAGATGTTTTTAAAAAATTCTATAAAAAAATAACAAACTAATTATGTCAATTTAGAATAGAATCATTTACCCGTACGAATTTTTCTCTTCCCATCGAAATACAAATTCTGTCTTTAATGTAACTTTAATAAAATTATCAAAACCTTATTCAAACAAAATTATTTGCGTGCTGCGGAATACAAATGACCGTTAATTAAAAGCTATCAAAAGCAATCATTTTTCAATTATTTTGCGTAAATAATATCGAACTTTGTTTCGTGTTTCTCACAAATAATCAGATGATATTAAAATTTAATAACAGATAATTAATTACGCGCCGAGTATTTTATTGAAAATCATACCCAACTCTGGTATCCACGTGCTCCCTTAAAAAATATAAAGTTCGTGCGGAGCAATTCGTTCTTTAATGAATTCTGATTTGCGACGTTGGTATCACTTTGGTACAAAGTGAATGCGCGGGAGCAAATAATTCTAGGGACCTTTAGTGGCTCATAATGGCGCTGTTTCGCCTCGTACAGACGCTGATTTTTTTTCACCCCGATAAAGAATCCCGTAGCCGTTTGTCAGACTTAGCGGCAACCACGGATTTCTGGACAGACTTTTACCCAGCCGCTTTTAACCGTGCGGCACGAGCTTTTGAATTTACTCTGTTGACTTTTCGGATAAATTGTCGAATACGTCTGCCACCTCACCCCACCCCGCGCCGAAAAGGATTTTCAAACAAAGGATTCCCTGTTTTATATCGCCATCAAAAGAAGAGTCGTTAAATTCTATTCTATTTCTTTTTTCCTTTCACTTTTTGTCGGCACCCAGTCCCACGGGGTTGGAACATTTTTCATAGGGATTTACGAGTCCTAAGTGCACGTAAAGAAGATATATTTTTTTCACTTTCAAGGGAACTGGCACCTCGGATAATAATTTGATGACTAAACGTGGAGACGGCGAACCGGGAAACGTGTTATTTTAAATTTCGTTCAAGTTACTGCAGAAAATTCTGACGACATTTTTAGAAAATTGTCCACAAAGTGGGGAAATTTTCCAAACAATATACGTTCAGAATGAACGAAGTTGACTTTAAAATTTCTGCGCTGAATCTTCTGAGGAAAACATTCTCCAAGTTCCTCTCGCGCAGTGACATTCAAATTAGGTCATAAGATGATGAGAAGTGAAGCGAGTGTAAGATGGTTTCTCTTAGGAATTTTAAGATACTTACATAGAGACGTTGAGGAAGACCGACAGTAGAAATTCGTTGTAAATCGCCATCGAGATGAATCGGCTCTCGTTGAACTCTGACGGTGTCTTTCTCACCACGATACACAGTCTTATTCCCCATATGAGAAACATAACTTCAACTGAAACAAAGTACAACAATCTTTGCCATTATCAAAATTAATCTGTGTCTAATTGTGTTTATAAAGTTTAAGAATGAACGCAATTTTCAACGGGATCTTATTGTTTCATAAAATTTCTCTCGTCTCAAGCTCCACGTATTCCTCAATTCTACATTCACTCATACGTTGAATTTGAATTAACGATGGATCAAAAGTTTAAATCAAGTTTGATTGGAGCTATCTCAAGTGATTCAATTTGGATTAGGTTTGGAATAGGTTAAGATTAACCGTCGGTTAAGTCCCAATTAGATTAAAGATAGGTCATTGTGTAATTGAAAATTTCTGCAAAATCTTTCTACGTAACGTTTTCAAACTTTACCGATATAATTATCATAACTGTGTTTCACTACTAATGAAATTTCAAAATGTATATCTTCTTAAGATGTGAATATGGTAGCTAAATCATGAAACTGCTCGATCATTACCCGAAAAATTCCCTAGATTTGTCTTTCATCTGTGAAGGGAATTGTTCCATTACTCAGTTAAATTGTTTTCTAAGTTTGTGTTACACGGTTGTAATATTGTGTCATCTATTGGATAAGTAAGGAAAATACCATTACATTCAATAGCCAATTTGGCAACGTGGAATTTCCTATTAGTTTGATGCCTAATTTGGCAGGGAGATCACATCAAAGAGGGAGGGTCTCTGACGCGATTATTAGAAACATCTTGGTAATATGATTTAATAGCTATTTAGGTTATATATCTTATCTAGCCGCTTATCATTGCTGTAACCTTGCGATTATTATAATTATGACAGTAATTGTGCAAATTAATCGCAGAGCCGCAAATTTCTAACTTTCTCGAATTACTCGATTTAGATGTATCTTAATATGTATTTTATTCTGTAAATTACTGTATTCTGTATCAGAAATTGATTAGTCTACGTATTTTCCCCTAGGAGAAGATCCTAGGGAACACTAGAATAAGAAAGTTTCAAAATTTCTATCGAATTCTGCTCAATACGAGTCTCTAAATTTTTGAAAGTCTAAACTTTGACATTACTAAATTTCTAAATTGCAACAAATGTAACAAGAAAATAATTGCACAGCCTCAGAGAGAAAAGAAAGGAAATGAATATATTTGTATTTTCGCATTTAGTCCATTAAATCTTCTCTCGTTCACTTTTCTAATTGCTGTTCGTTAAACAAAAGGACAACTGAAAGCGGTATTCCATTCGATTGCAATTGTTCGAAATTGTTCAGAACTGTGACTCCATTTATAATCGTACAATTTGCTACGACTACGCTTGCTTCTTTGATCCCTGATTTCAGTTCCATTAGACTGGAATAAAATGATAAACATTTCCTTGTTGGATAAAACTGGTAGTTCAGCTTGATGTTTGTGCAGACTAATTCAAAATCATATTTTATATCTCATAAAGAGGATCGTTTATAGCATTGCAATTTTAAATTTAAACGCCCCATTTTATGTTTGAATTCGGCAGTAACAAATCGGTGGATATTTTGTGTTTGCCTAAACACAATTTCGATATAAAGTTATCAATCTTTTCTTTTTCGATATAATGTTATCAATTATCACTTTTGGTTATTTTTCTTCTACTAATTTTCTGATGAACTGAAACGAGTTCTAGTGTAGTTTTGTCTAGTGACATTTTCTTTAACCTAAAATGGAATGATATTATTCTAGAAAAAGTCTCTAAGTTGGGCGATTTTGAAATTTTATAATTCGGGAATTTAGAAATCTCGGAATCTAAGAATTTAGAAATTTTGTGTTAAACGGAAATTTTGAAATTCCTACAATTTCCTAAATTCTTTTAAACTAGCGTTTCCTAGCAATTTAACTGAAGTTATTAAAATGCCTCCTTCCTTAAAATGACCTAAACTAATTATAGATTATATAAATTCAGTGCAGCCCAGAGTTCTCAACATGGCCACCAATTTTACCTCTGAAATTCTCTAGTCAACCAACTTCCAAGTGAACCAAAAAATTTACATAATCAACAGCAGTCCACCAGGTTTTGAAATATTTTACTGAAGCGAGGAAAATTCAGCGGCCAAGTGTTCTAAATTTACTCTACCTTACAGCTGTAAATGTGTTCCGAAATTTCTTTCACCCAGCGTCTGGCAAGCGTCGTTAACAGTCCAACCACGTTTACCACGCGTGTTTAACCCAAAAGCAAAAGAAAAGCGAAGGTTATGAATGGGGAGAAAACAGAAGGCAGCAGAGGCAAAAACAGCACCAGAGAAGGTTGTTTTTTCTCATCAAGAAAGCTCTCGGCGATAATGCGCTCGAGAAACATACCCAGGCCTGTAACGGCGAAAAGAGTTCAACAGTTCCTGACGTAACCGAAAACCTGCATGCAGCTTAGGTGGAGCCCCCTGTATCGTCGAAACGAAGAAATTGAATCGAGCTGAATTTTCAATGTGCAAAGTTAGCGTATCAAAACGAGAAATTAATACAAAAAACAATTCATCGGAAATTCAAACACCTATTTAGCATTTCGTGTCGCTCTTTAAAACGGAGAGGGAAAATTTTTCGGGGAGTTTTTCTCCCGGAGGAAATATTAAGATGTACGAGGGTATATTAAGGCAAGATTAGCCACCATTTTCGCCCTATTCACTAAATCGTCGTCATATGTCATTCTGCAACGTTTCTCAAATTTTCTCCAATGTCGCGGAGATTTACTAGACTTACTGTTTGTTATTTTTATTCATTAATTATTTGTAAGAAAGATTATTATTATTTTGGACAGATGACTATTTATTTAGTATTTTTGGAAATTTGTTAACTTTCAATTTGTGAATTTTTTAATTCTCTGCAGATTTCCACGACCCTAGTGTCTCGTCATTGACACCGAAATGTATTTATCATTTATTCCCTAGCAGTTCCTCAACTTTTAAGGTTAGAACAATCCCCAGCTATCAATTTCCCTAGTTTCCCAACTTTTTCCCCCAATTCTTTTCTTTCGACTCTTTAAGATTAGCAATTGCAAATCTTCGATCGATTAACGATCATCGAAACGTTAATTGGAAGCTGCAAGCGGAAGATATTTCTATCCTAGTGTCTCGCCATTGACACCAAAATGTTTATCATTTATTCCCCAGCAGTTCTTCAACTTTTAAGGTTAGAATAATCCCCAACTATCAATTTCCCTAGTTTCCCAACTTTTTCCCCCAATTCTTTTCTTTCGACTCTTTAAGATTAGCAATTGCAAATCTTCGATCGATTAACGATCATCGAAACGTTAATTGGAAGCTGCGAGCGGAAGATGTTTCTAGCGAGAGAACGTAATTCCCTAGCGAGAGAAACGCGAGCTGCGGATAAAAGGGGAGAAGGGCAAAAGGATCCATTGGAATTCCGAGTGAAATTTCAACGGAATGATTGCTTTTGTCGTCCGATAGTATGCCTTTGAAAAAATCATCGCGCACAGCTTGTAATGGTTCTTCAATTGTTTTTTATTCGTCACCGCGGTTGCGCTCTCTTTCATCGCAGCGAGTGTGTGTGTGGGGGGAGGGAGAGGAGAAGGAGGGGCCGCTCTTTGCTTATTCTCGCAGCGAGTGTGTTGAAAAAAAGGTCGTGGGCTTTTGGTTTCGACTTTTGATGTTTGCCACGGCACGGTCAAAGGCCACGTTTCCATGGTACTTTATTTCCTTTGACAGGGATTACGTGTTTCTCTCATTTTTTTTATTTTTTTTTCTCATCGCCCGCTGCATTCTCGACAAAATAGACATCGCCTGTGTTTCGACAGGGGATTCTTTCGACAGGGCACGGTCGTTGATTTAAATGGAACGACGAATCGAGATTGTCGGCTACGAGATACGTTTCTTTATTTCGCGCCGCGGCTCTAGTGACAAAAGCGACGCTCACCGTATAATATAAATCTAGTAACTTTCCTTTGAACATGATCCAAGTGAAACTAACCTGAAAATTGTCTAAATTTAAATTGACCGAGAAATTAAAAATCGCTCATGCAATTAAATCTAATTTTTTAAAAATTGAAAATTAAGGTTTAGAGTGTTTTTTAATATAGATTCTTTCAAATTTAGTGTATTTTAATTGGAGAATTCGTATCCCCCCCCCTCCCAGATTCCCTAGAGTGATTCAAATGATTCGATTTAAGAAGAATAAAAAGATCCTAAGACGTTTCACGGATATTGCATTTAACTGAGATGATAAAAAGTTATATCGCACTCAAAAATATGATAACCTCGAATTGTTGAGATGTTTGAATTCTCAAAACGGTTACAAGTTCAACTTTCCCCCTTTCGCAATTGAATCACTCAAACCGTTTGACTATCAAAATCGAAACTAGAAATGAGAATTTGAAACGAAACAGAAGCTACTGTTAAATGTCTGTCGATTACTCTGTTATCTCTTAATGTTAATTGAATCAGTGACAACACTCGACAGCGACAATAAAAACAGAGGAGAATCATTTAATTAAATCTCACTCGGGAAGCTCTCGATTTTTTTCGAAAATAAATTTTTATCGTCGAAATTAAAGTTTTTTTTTTTTTCACAGCGGTGAATATTGACTATATATATGCGGGGGAGGGGCGAACTAAAATTGATCAGCGCTCTCTGGTGACAACATCTGGTGACGCTTAATCATTCGGTTAATTGATGCGACGTTCATGGAATTTCCCGCGTGATTTTATGAACAGAATGATTGATTTCTGTCAGCCGGCGGATTTTAATGCCGATGGAAAGTTTCACAGAGAGTGTTATAACGGAATATCGTCGTCCATTCCGGACCGTCTATAATTCAACCATAAGACAGTCCGCCGAAGTAGAAACCCAACCCTACTTTCATCCCAATTAATAAACAAAAAGCTGTGATATACGGATGGTAATAACAAAAATTGACTCGTCTCTTTTATCGTGGACGTTCATATAAATAAAGTTAAGGCTGAACGACACGATTTATTAGCAATATAAAATTGGCACAACTATGTCGTTGATATATGCGGGAGAACGATCAATTAATAACTCAATCTTCAACACAATAAGTGATAGATCGGTGTCTTTTGAAATTTTTGAAAATTATAAAATAGTGACGTGAAGTATGGGAAGGAAATAACGTCGCCTGTGATTAATTTAAAATAATACAATCATCGCTGTCGGTAAAATAAGCGACAGAAAATTGGAACGAAAAAAATAGGACAATTTTCGGTAAAATATTGTGGATGTACAAATAATTCATGTCTCTCCAACATTCGCGAAAGTTATGAGATAGTCGCAATTCACATTTCCGTGAATAGGATTTATCATCGCAATGAAAATTTACCGCCATTATCGCAATCAGAATATTAATAAAATGCACAATGTTAAATGCCACTGTTAAATCGAATTAATTAAGAGTTAATTTGTCGTTGTCGTTATTTAAGTAATGGTAAAATTAATTTTTCTTTCTGCCAGTAAGATAAATCAGTTAAAGTTTCTCACACAGATGTGTGGCCAACGCGTGAAGCTGGATTTCAATTTGACGTCGGTCGTTTTATGTCGGTAGCCATTATTTGGAATCGTTTAAATCTCTTTTGGCTTTTCAGGCGGTTAAATTCGTCTTTCGTCCAGCGTTGTCCGATCGAACGATTCTCTCTTCGAGCAACGACGCTCGAATTTGCATTTCGAAATTAAAATCCCACGATACCGTTTCGCATCGAAACGAATTCAAGAGATATCGAGATGCTGCGAAAGACTCGTTACGTCGAAAGGAGCTAGACTCTGTCGATAATGCCGGTCTTTTCGATGTAAACGTTCGAGGGGGATGCAATAGCGGCGGGTGGACTTGCCGAGTAAATTTAAATTCAGACGAGCGGATATTTATAAAGTTCGAAATTGTTCCGAGGATCTTTTCCCTCGTTTCCCAACATTTGCGTATCGAACAGATGGAATTTCAGACGCTCTAATTGCAGTTTTAATTTTTTTTCGAACACGCGCAACTAGAGGATCGCTGCGAGTTGAAAAAGATTCGACACGAAGTAAGAATTTATCGACGAAACGTAAAAGTATCACACAGTAACAAAAATTATCGAATGCCACGAAATTTTCAGTTTCAGAAGTTGAAGAATTTTGGTTGCTGGAAAATTTGAACCCAAAGATTTAAATTCACCGTTGATTAAAATTTCCAATTTCCTGCGGAATTTCCTTTTGCCCCGAGACGAAGGTTCCGAGCTGGTTAACGTCACTCCGCAGTATCCTATAAAACTCGCGCTCCCATCTATCTCTATCAATTTACAAAGCTAATTTTCAATCGGTATAAAGGGAATTTCCTCTAGAAAATATTAACCCGAATCGACGAACGGTTAATTTATATCATTTGTCACTGAACCTTCGCCCAAGTCCATGTAGAATTGGAAATTTTCATCGAAGAAGAATGACCTGTTAGATTCATTGAATATAGGTTAGGATTATCAAGTGGCCCTCGTCTGGCAGTACTGCCAACGTCTGAGCAAATAAAAGCTTTCAGTACCGCTCATCTACTTTGGCCAATGTCCAGCGTGAAATTATTTAGTTTCGCGCTGGGAAATTTTTGGAAATCTCGAGGTTGGAAACAATAGAGGGACAAGTTAACAATACAAGCGTTAATAAATTCTCGTGCTTTAGTATCATTCGATTTTACGATTTCAACGTTGTTATGCTCGTTTTATTAGAATTTCTGAGACTGATTTTTGGAGTTGTTGCTAGCTGAAGACGATTCTTAACTTTTCAATTTTTGAGGATGAATTTTGGCAAAATTAATCATTCATTCTACGAGGCTGGATATTTTCTACATAGGGAGCACAATATTAAAATATCAAAAGAGATGGATTTTTGTGAAAATAAAAATTTGGAAAACAAAAGAGTTGCAATAAATTTAAAAACTAATGAGCCACCAATTTTAACAAAGATTCCTCTAGATATTGTTATTTCTTCATTTCTTCAGATATCTAGAAATTAGAAATCCATTGAAAACATTCTATTTGTCCTCCTTCTCAAACGAAGGAAATCGAAACTCATTGCACTAGCGCATGTTGGAATTTTATTCGAGAAGAATCAGCTCAGTTAAGAGATATACAGAGGCAACAAGAACGACACTTATAATTGGACTATCGATCGAATAGTTTAATCAGTGACAGGGGATGAAGATGTACGATTCAATATCCCTCATGCGATGAAGAATCTGTTCGACGAGATTGCGGGATTAGCCTGAGAAAATGGGGACACTGCAATTAAGTTATGCGACTGGTATAAACTGATGAAAGTTACGCGAATCGATCATGTCGGACGACAGAAGCTACCTGGAAGCAGACAAATGAATCAGGAATTTCATCTCGAGGGAAAATTGAAAATTACGGAAAAATACTAGTGCGGTTGGCACTAAAAAATTTCTTTCCCACATTATCCTTCTTGATAAATTCCTCAACAAATATATATATTAAAAAAGGGAATTACGACTGCAAAAAATATCATATAAATTGCTGCACTTTGGAAATTTCGACCACTAATGGCCATCATAAATCTATTTGCCATGCAGTGAATTTATCGTCTCATAATTTTCGCTCGGGGCAGAGAGAATGGTTAATCCAATTCACCCCCTCTAGCAAGCGCCTACGAAACTAGAAAGCGAACAAATTCGATATTTCATCATGTAACACGCTTTCTTCTCTTTTCCACGCAGGCGATTCCACTGGGAATAAAGAAAAAAAAAAAAAAGAGAAACGTATAGCGGTTTACTTCCGCCGGAAGGCTCTCCCACCCACGTGTCAGCCCAGTCACAGTTTGTTAACTCGACTCGAGTAAACTGGACACGTTTTAGGTTAACCTAACGTAGCTTGCTAAATTCTGGGGATTAACGTAACCTAACTTACCGCCTCGACAAGTCCCACTTCCGCTCAAAGGTCTCAGGACGCTTATTACTTTATAACATTCGGACACACATAAAACAGTAAAATGTTACTTTAATTTAATATTAATTTCACACATTTTTTACAATACACTTAATAGATGCTTGGCTGTACAACGTATCATTCGACTGGGTTTCAATTTTCTATCTTTGAAAGGAACATAATACTCGATCCAAGACCTTTGAAAACACTACACTATCAAACTACTTTGCCAGTCAATCAAAATCACTAATTCGATGGTTTTGAATATCAAAGAACAAAGATGAAAGAAACACCCGGGGCAGGTCTGCTCGAAACCATCGAATCTGGCAGTGCGTTAATTCAAATCAGTTCTATCAGACGGTCGTGTAACTGACAATGTTCTGCAAGTAACAAGCTCGATTCTCGAGCGAGACGAGAGACGAGAGGGTTAAACGGAAGAGAAACCATGCATCAGGTGATTGGTCGAGAGTTAAAGCACTCACGTGTGGTGAAACTGTGATCCCACCAGTCAGTCAGGCAGAGATAAGCCTTCAGGTCGTCCGCCGTTCGTGCCACTATAACCACAGGCGGTGCAACCAGCGTACGAATGCTCAGGAACACGCTGAATATCATGACGATGATGCCCAGCCGTTTCAGCAGACTTCCATCCGTTATCTTCACCGCTTTCGCCGATTTCACCCGGAATATCACCGATATTCTGCAATCAGAATAGTCCCGGAACAATCAACCTCGCTCTGCAATTGGGTTGGTTACTGGATCTAGGGACATTTTCGGGGTAGCAGTTGACAGGCTTTGAAATAATAAGAGAAAATGGAACGACTATAATCTATAATATATTGTGTGAAATTTTTATGATCAAACTCTGACGGATCGAATATTTTATATCTTCAAATTGTTATTGACCTTTGTTTGAGAAAGATTGGAGAATATTTTGTGTGTAAGAACGTGGACTTGTGATAAAAGAATTAACCGTAACTTTCTTAGTATTGTGGAGTCGAATGTCTTTAAATAGGACTTTATTGAAATTAAGTATAAATAAATGAAATATAAATGTAAAGCTTAAGATTTAAATTACTTAAGTTAATTAAAGTGATTAGAAGAATTTCGTGGTCTTAGGTTGTTCTTGGATATCCAGATTATTCTTGGTTATACATCTAGGGCACCCTAGATCTCTAAACTGATTGATTTAAACTGGTTTCGAATTCCTAAATTAGACGCAAACTTTTCAACTGATTCTAAATTCTTAACCTGACATTTGAATTAGACCTAGATTGCCAAATTGATATCTAAGTTGATCCCAAATCCCTAAATTAACATTTCAATTAGACGCAAACTTCTCGACTGATCCTGGATTCCTAAATTGGCACCTAAATTAATTCTAGATTTCTAAATTACTTAGATTGCTCTCAAATTCCTAAATTAGACGCAGATTCCTCAATTGTTCCTAGACTGTTGGAATTGGCACCCAAACCGGCACCAGATTCCCAAATTGACATTCAAACTCAACGAAAAGAGTCACTTACTGCAAAGACATTGTCCATTGCCAAACCAGACCAAGAACCGCCACAATGACTCTTTATCTTATCCCTAGGTCATTAGGCCATCTGGATCATCCCCAGATCTATAATGAATTCTATTCACAGAAAAAAAAAACTCACTGAAGATACTGAGGATCTTCTGATCTTTCATAAAACTGAATAGGGAGCTTTTCTGAGATATGAAAGGGAAGCGAGAAGGCACAAATGGACGCTAAAATAGTCGGGAAAATACAGCGTTGCTATCGGGAGGACGCAAGGGTGCTCGAGATTTAGTAGCTTGGCCGTTTTTCTGGTCAACGGAGCACGTTCGAAGGATGCAACCTCTCAAGGGATGAAATCTCTTCCAGCAAGAGGAGTGCACTCGTGGCAATACACAAGGCAACGACACAAGGACGAATTGATAAAGCCTGTTTTCACTCGTGAAACGAAGGCGCACAAGTGCGCGGCTGGCTTTTGGTAATCGTCTTAGGGGCACACTCAATGGTACGTCTATTAGCCAGTGTATCGTGCCAGCTTCATTCATTCACGTCGTGAAACAGGTCGAAGATTTAATAAAGTTCAAGAGACACCGAGAAGAGCCAGAAAATTAAAGGCCTTTCATTTCTTGGCCAGAGCGAGGAAAGCTTTTGATTACGGTTTCTATCTTTCATCTCTTAATCTTGACAATTAGACGCTACGAAGGGGAAAAAAAAACAATTTTTTTTCAGTGGAAGTAATTGGTGGGAGAAGATTGTTTCAAGCTGGATATCTTTATTCTTCATTTGCTCTGAAGAAGGTATTGTGAAGTTTGAATCATGGAGCTTAAATTGTTTTTTGGACAATAGTTTTTTGATTGGGCAAAGTTTTGTACTCTGTTATGTGTTTGTATATAACTGATGGTTCAGACTCCTAAATTTGAGTTTCTACAGTTAGATTCCCAGATTTAGACTTTAGACAGACTTAAGTTTCTAAAGTTAGATCATTCCTTGGCCAGATTCTGATGTCTAGCTGTATCAAGTGATGAAAGTTAAGATTCCTAAATTTCGGAATAAGTTTCTAGACTTGGATTCTTAGAGTTACATCGTTCTTTAGATATTGGTCCTTAAATCAACCAGATTTTCTGCTATCTAGCTGTGTCAAGTGATGAAGATCAAGATTCCTAAATTTGGAATAAGTTTCTAGACTTAGATTCTCACACTGTTCTTGTGATCTTCAAATCCAGATTCTGCTGTCTGGCTACGTCAAGCGATGAAGATTCACATTCTAAAACTCCAACTGAGCTCAATCTTCGAGGACCCACATGGGGACATCTCTTTCATATTTTAGAAACCTAATCAGATCCCAACCAATTTTTTTTTCCACGCTTTTCTCAGTCAAACCATCTCAAGAGACGCTAATCAATCTCATCGAACACCCGTTCTGCCTCAATCTCTTTCACGAAAACGTCCAAGAAAAAAAAAAAAAAAAAACAATCCTCGCCAAACGCCAGACCAAATGATCGAGTTCTCCCAAGTGACAATTCAACGAGTCTATTCAACGAGCTCTCGATGCAGATTAAGGACACCTGGACCCGGAGGAAGATTCATCGATTGCAGTTTCCATTCGCGGTGAAACGCGATCCCGGGAGCCAGATCTGGAATCGTTGATTACAGGGACAGCGGGCGCCCCGTTCTGCTATGCGATCGTCCGTTTGCCCAAGGAATCTCTTTAATTACGTGTATACCCAGGTTGACCCAGTTGTCGCGACCACTCGAAGCGATCCTTCCGGCGAGTGGGAACCTCTTACGGCAAGTTATCCAGTCCGAGTAGGAGGGAAAAGTTTCGCCAACCCTCTGGGGAATCATCCACCTCCCCGGCAGGATCAATGTATCCTCGATGTTAAACACGGCTAACGGGCGAATCAGCTGAATTTTCAAGTGGTTATGGGGGAAGTTAGAGCCGTTTACGGGAGAATCTGATAAGTCCACATTCGTAACGAAGGTCTTCTTGATCTATGTCCGACTGGGGATAAACGTCGAAAATTTGTTTTATCTTGTTTTATTCTTCTTTGCCGATAGGGGTTTGCCAACTCGTTTTCAGACAGACAGATCATTTTGGGGGGGGAGGGGGAAATTTATTTTCGAGGGTAAATTTCGCGACGATGGAGTATATATCGTGCGTGATATCGAAGAGAAAGTTATTAGAATTCAGAAATTATTTTGAGACTGGGGGTATTTGAACACAGTTGGTGAAATTCATTGGCAAGTGTAAAATGTGAGAAGAGGCTACTGATGTTTAAAACTGTGTCGCTTCAAACTGCAGAATATCAATAAATTGTAGATTGTAAATAAAGATAATTGCACAGAATCGTTAACTGAAAATTTGCAAATTGCAAAAAATATAATACAACATAATATTACATAATAAATATAATATAATCTAAAATATAATATAAGATAGAAAAATTCAAACAAACAGTAGCAAATGAATAGAACTGCAAATCCTGAACCTAAAGTTGGCAGGGAACTGCCAATTTGAAAACTGCGGATGAGAGAAATTGTAAATTGCAAAGGAAACGACAAAAAACTACAAATGGAAAAATCTCCCCCCCCCCAGAAATTATAAGTTTGAAATTGCAAATTCCAAAGAACTACAAACCGTAAATTTCAGCAAAATCACAGAGTCACAATTCCAGCAAATTTTCACGAATTGACCCATTGGAACCGATCGATGTGTCTGACTGATCACGGCCATTTACGAAATATATACGTCTGAGCTGCCCGAATTTCTCAGCGATACTGCTCAACAACGTACATAATCACACGTTCGTTTACATCAGGTCGCACGATTCTTAGAATTCGTGTTTCCAATAACTGGCGGAAGAAACTGAACTGTGTGTTTACAAATTTTGTCGGCTGCCATACAGCATTGTAGAGTAGTTCGAGAAACGGCAGCCGGGTTCTCGAAATTTTCGGGAATCTCGACTTTTTCGGGAAACCCGATTCCTTCGGGAATCTCGAAATTTTCGGTAATCCGATATTTTCGGGTTCTCGCACACCCCCAGTGATTATGACTCGTTGGAAAATAATATTCCCCGCTCGCAGCACACTCGCGACAACTTCAACCTCGCTTTCAACTTTCCTCAAAGAACCCGCCGCCGGCCGGAATTAATCTGGCCCGAAGGCAGACGAGTTATTCTGTTTCAGCTCTGTCGTCGGGGTTAAATTAATATTCCGCGCGAGTTTCTCACTTTTCGTTCGCCGAGTCAAGCAAAATACAGGCAACGGCCCGTGGAAAATATCCGAGGGCCAGGAAGTTTCGAATTGTAAGCCGGAGTTTCGATCAGAATTGGATTACTTTAATCAGCAAGGCAGGTGCGTTGGATTAGATCGGAGCTTGGCGAAGCTCCGGCGAAATTTAGATCGTGTTCTCCGGTAAGATTAATTTAAAATTATAAGTAGACGAGCCTTGGGATACTGTTTAAAACTGAGTCAAGGCTTTGAAGAAGACTTGAACACTGGCAGTTTTGAAACAGAGGATGTACGTATAATACTTTTCGACTCTAGAATTTAATAGCTTCGATCGAACTTCTTTTATTTGTTTTCAACAATTCAATATCATTTCGTATCACGACTCTATACCAGATCTATAAAACTTACTTTGTTAACCCTGCTGTGATACCTTTATCTTTTCAATTTAGCAAAGGATTTATACCTTGGAAAGATGTTTAACCTGAAACTTGAACGACAAATCACATATTTTAATAAGAGTTTCTTCAGATTTCGTTTAAATTTCAAATACTTTATAATTTTGGTAACGTGAGTGTAAAGTCAAAAATAATCGAAAGAACAGAGTTGAAGGAAAGTCATGTTGAATCACAAAGATTTTCCCGAGTCATGGAAAATTGTCCGTGAATCACACGAAAATTCACATAAGCCGACTAAATAATTGAGTTCCTACGTGCATCAAGTTTTTCCGAATCATAGAAAATTTTCTTTCACCACAAATTCGTCTCAGTTGCACGAGAATCATCAAAAAACCGCAGAAAATTGGCTCGAGTCAAAGAAAAGTCGTCTCGAGTCACAAAGATTTTCCCTGAGTCATGGAAAATTGTCCCGACTGTTACGACGTTTTTCTGGATCATGGAAAAGCTATTTCAAAACTAGCTAGCTGTATATTAAACTTCCATTCCGATGGAAACTGTCCCTTTATACCCGACAAGTTTCAGCAATATCTCGCGAGCCGTGTACTTTTCTCCGTTGTCGGAGCTAACACAATTAACCAGGGCCCCCGGAACTTCCTGTTAAACTTGCTACACGGGGTCTGCTGTGAAACTTTCTCTTTCTTCGTCCACTGGCGCGCTCGCCATTACGTCCACTCCGTGTTTCCGGCATTCTAATGTTATTTAGCCGAAGTTGCCGCTTAATCGACGTGTAACTTTGTCGCAAGTTTCAAGTTATAATTAACGGAAGTCGACTCATTGTCAGCTGGCTAATGTACAGGCTTCGCTTACTCCGGCACACATAATTAGAAATTCCGTTAGTACGCTCTCTCTCTCTCTCTCTGTTTTACTCCGTGATTTCGTCTCTGTTCAATTTTGTCACGTGTAACAATTTTATCAAATTTCGATATTCCATGACATTAATTAATTAATTAACTGTTGTCCACTCATGTCATGTCATTTCGACAGCTTAAATGTAGTATGATACAGAGAGACGTGCATTTTTAATGAAGATGAGAAACGTGGACGTAATAAAAATCTGAATTTTTCATTCTCATTGTTTAATTACAGGTTGCAGCCAATTTCAATCACGACAGTAATAATGGCGATTTTATTCAGGTTCGAATAACTTTTCCCGCTGTTGGATGAAACTGTCACAACTCGAGTAAATTTTCCTCTGACTCAAATAAGTTTTCTCGTGACTCAGAATTACCGTTAAGTAAATTTTTTCTACGACTAAACGAATTTCTTTAAATAAATTTTCTATGAGTCAAATAGAATTTCTACGAACCTAGTTTCTCTGCGACACAAATAAATAATATTTAGAAATTTAAATAAAGTTTCTCTTAAAACTTGAATAAAATTTCCACAATTGTAATGAACTTTCCTGTGACTCGAACGAACTTTTCTATGACTCAACTAGAATTTCCAACTCTTGTAAATTTTCATATGACTCAGTTTCTCTATAACTCAAAGTTTCCATTACTACAATAAATTTTCCCGTGACTCAAGCGAAATTTCCTATGACTCAGATACAATTTTCACAACTCTAATAAATTGTCACCTGATTCAGACGAGTTTTTCTATAACTCAAAGTTTCCATTACTACAATAAATTTTCTTGTGACTCAAGCGAAACTTCTTATGACTTAAATACAATTTTCACAACTCTAATAAATTGTCACGTGACTCAGACGAGTTTTTCTATAACTCAGTTTCCGTTACTGTAATAAATTTTTCCTGCGACTCAAAAGAAACTTCCCATGACTCAAATAAAATTTCCACAACGCGAATAGATTTTCATGCGATTCAGACGAATTTCTCTGTAAGTCAAAGTTTCCATTACTATACGAAATTTTCCCGTGACTCAAGCGAAACTTCCTATGACTCAGATACAATTTTCACAACTCTAATAAATTGTCACTCAAGCGACTTTTTCTATAACTCAGTTTCCGTTATTGTAATAAATTTTTCCTGCGACTCAAACGAAACTTCCCATGACTTAAAACTCAAATAAAATTTCCACAACACGAATAGATTTTCATGTGACTCAGACGAGTTTTTCTGCGACTCAAACAAAGTTTCCATTGTTCCAATAAATTTTCCCGCGACTCGAACGAAATTTCCACGGTTCAAATAAATTTTCCTCATGACTCAGGTAGAATTTCCACCGCTCGACGAAATTTCCAAGTCACCAGAAGTCTCATATATCTTCGTATCTTCCATTTCACGAAACTCTTTCACCAAACAGCGAAAATACATCGAAACGCGCCTTCCCCAGAAACCGTTCTCCCTTTCTGCCGTCAAACAGATCAATGTTTCACGATGGAAGAGAGGTTTATCACTTGGATGGCGGTGAATACAGCGAAAGGGGGAGAGAAAGAATCACGCTCGCTTGGCCGAGCTTTGTTCGCGTAGAACGAAGTGCGGTCGAAACGGCTTACGAACTCCAGGAGATGGGAGGGAGGAGGGTGAACTTTTTTTCTCTGCCCCACGAGAGGCGAGAGACGGTGGTTAGGGGATGAAAGTCGCGGCGGCAATCTTTGTCCCGGAATCTCCACGTTCGGCGGAAATCCTGTAACTGCTCTCGAAACCAGCGATCTTCTGGGAGGGATCTCCCGGAGAAAAAGGGAAAGAAAGAGAAGGGAAAAAGAGGTGAACGATGACACGTTAGAGGCTGGCCAAGGGCGAAGCGACCGCTGAAAACTATTGACCTCGTTCTTCTTTTTTTACGCGTTTCAACCTGGCTGACCAGACGGGGTTAGAGGGCTGATCGGTGGAAATCTATCGAACACGGCGAGTCGAGCGAAGAAGAATGGAGATAGGACGGCGCACTTTTAGCCGTGGGATTCGATTCTCTCGAAGCCGGAGGAGGGGGCGAGGAGATTCTCTCGAGCTTGGTGGAAAATTGGTTGGACGCTGTGAGCTGTGGCATCGGGCGAGAAGAAAGTTTTCTGACGTGCGACGTCGGGATTTGAAAAGGTCGAGCGTAGTGGAGAACGAAGGAAGTTTTCTTTGACTCGCGGGAAAATCGAGTTTAGACAGAGAAGTTGTCGAAAAATTTGTTGAGAATCGAGGGAAGTGGGGACGACCTCGTAATTTTGAACGTTGCGACATGCATAGAATATTCGAAGTATGTCGTTATGCCGAGTCAAGGGAAATTGTCTAAACTCACGAAGAATACTATGTAGTAGAGGGAAATTAATAAATTTGAGTCGTAAAAATTGTTCAAGCCCTTGGACAATAATTTTTGGCATCGAGGGTAATGGAAAATTTTCCGAGTCACGGAAAATTGTTCGAATTAATGGAAAATTCTCCGGAGTGAAGGAAAATCGACAAATTCAAATCAAAGGTACTGCCGTTGCAGAGAGACACACCGTAAATGATTCAGGAAGTCAAAATTCACTGATTCCCCGGATTCTCGCTTTTAAAGCCGAATTTACACCGAGTTCATCACGTATCCCTAGCAAATATCAAAAATTCAAATAAAACTGGCGAGACGCCGGCCGGAAAACCGCGCACAACCCGCAGAGCATGCAACGTTTGAAACACGCCGGGAGTTTCGGTTATTTAGGGATCCAGTAACGGAATTAAAACGTATAACGTCCGTGTAATTTTCCGCACGCGTGTCGAGCGTGCAAACTCGGTGAATTTCACCGGCGGCGGATCCACCACCGTTTGCAGAGCAAACATCGCTCCTCGGATCTCACGCGTGGCGCGTAACGTGGAATTAACGTAAGCAACGTTCCCAGGGAAGCGTTGTTCTTACTCACCGCCATGTCTTCAGCATGAGAGCGCCGTAAGTGAGGGAAAATCCAATCTCTCTCAGCCACACACGCACCGTGCAGGTTATGACGTTCGGACGCGGGTACATTACTATCGTCTGGAACAGAAAGGAATTGATTTCCATTTACAGTGATTCAACGGTTCCCTCAAAGAAAACTCCGCGAACCCTCCACGAATGGATTCCTATCTTCCTTCTCGCAAATTGAATTCCCCTCTGCACCGATACAAAGGATATGGAAAAGTTTTTCATTTGTGGAAGAGCCGGCAGATTGAAACGGATAGTAGTAGATTTTTTTGTTCCCTGCAGTTTTGTTCATCGTTTCCTATTTTGTTCCCAATCAGCGAGCAGTGCACGCTTCTGACGCGACGTCTGCCTCATGCACGTGTCACGAATGGTACGATAAAAAGTCCCTATTGTGAATCATTAGATACGTGCTTATGCGTCAGTGGGCACAAAACAGGAAGTCCCCTTGTCGCAACGTACGTATAATAGGGAATTCCTGTAAGTCACTAGACGATAGAGCAGGAAATCCCCATGATGTATACGTACGCACAGTCGCCATGATGCATGCGCGATGTAAAATATCCCTAATATTTGTTAATAGTTACATAATGCAACGTACAATAGTATGTAATAAATATATATATACACATAATGTAAACATGAACGTAAATATATATACACGTGATATAAACATAATATATGTATGCACGTATTAAATATTATGTATATACATAGTAAATATACATTACGTGTATATACATAGTAAATATATATTACGTGTATATACATAGTTACACGGGAATTTATTAATAACATTCTGACGAATATATTGTATATTTATATATATTTTAATATTACGTGCATATATTTATGTATTTTAATATTACATTATTAATATATATATTTATACATTTTAACATTAACGCGTTTAATTATTTTCACAAATAAAAATTCAACAAAGTATTTGTGCAATTTAGTGCAGCACGTGAAACACGCCCGCGGCATTTAAGCGAAATGTCAAATGAAAAGATTTCGATGAAGCAAGCAAAAGAATTGGAAAATTGCAAGGTTAACCTTGGTAATTTAAAAAGTTTCACGTAATTGAGCGAACGAAAGATTCCCCCAGTTCTTCGCATTCCTTTCGCCCGGCTCGCCCAATAATTTCTTTCTCGTCTAGCCGATAGCATCGCATGAGGATAATTGCCAATAGAGCGAATACTTTTCATGGGGCAGAACGCGAAATCGCGTGCCGCGTCACGCAACGAGTAAGTTAGCGTCGAGCGGCGCTAGTATCGCCCACGTCCCGCCATTTTCGTGTCAACATGTCGTCCGTTTCACGGTCGAACGAAACGCAAGAGCGCTCGACCGCCGGCTAAAGACTTCCGCACGAACTTATCAATTGTGTTCGGCAATGGCTCGAAACACGAGAACTTAAACGAGAGCCGAATGGCTGTCGAAATATGCGACATCCATCGACAGCGATTTATTCGCATCGAAGAGACAAAACGACTTTGTTCATACTCTATTCTCGTTTATATATTTTGTTCCCTCGTGTGTCTGGTTTGAGATTGGGGTTCTTCTTACGGTTTAGAGATTTTCGTCCGGTTCGATTTTAAATTTTGAGCTAGACTTTTATCCCTTAATTTTCGACTCTGACGTTGAGTGTCAGTTTTCTTTCGAATTTTGGTACCACCAGATCTCAATTAGATTCGAATTTGATTCTAGTGAAATTTACGGGGTTACGTTTCACGCGATAGCTCTCGCGGTTTGGTTTAAATCAGGTTCGAAACAGATACATCATTCAGTTACATCAAATTTCAATTAGATTTCGGTCGAGTGAAATTTCAATTAGATTCCGGTCAGATTTTGGTTCGGCATCGGGTGAATTTCGGTCAAGTTCGGAATGGATTTCTGTTAATTTTAGGCACGATGTAATTTCGTTTCGGCTCATATCGGGGATAGCTCGGGATTAAATATTTTTCCCTTGGACGTTCGGAACGATAATCTAGGATGTAATGTATCGTCGTGTCGTATCGTATTTTCCTCTGGACATACTGTTACACCAAATTTCCTTCCTATTTTATTTCAAAAAACAGTGCGCACGTACTTCGCACAGGGAGAGAAGTAAAAAAACTTTGTTATTTACAACCCGGAGCTAAGCGCACGATAAAACTTCACTGAAATTTCTGGGGGAATATGCTACTTACCGTGCAATATATGAAGAACGCTCCGAGCACAATGACGCGTAGAAGAACCGGGCTCGCAGCTCTTACCACCTGCAACCAAAAGAGAAAAAAGAAAGAAAGAAAAAAATGTTGCCAGGAAATTAAATGCCAGCTCCACGCTTCTTACGACTATCCGATTAGAATATACGATTCACCATATTTCACGCCATTCGATGCTGGCACAAAATTGAGTTTCTAAAATTTGCGTTTGCACTTTATCGCCACGAAACATACAAAATTGTAAATTTACGAAGGAAAATGTTTCTGAATGTTTGTTGAAAGAAAAAAAAAAAAAGGAAGCAATGATAAAGGGGAAAAACGATCGAGAACAGCGTTCAAAATTCAAAACGGGACGAATATTCCCCCGTTGGGATATTTATAGAACACTTTGCAGAATGCCCGGCGTAAATTGAGAGCCACTGATGAACGAGCGATTCACTCTGGAAGGACAAAGCCAATGGAAGAAGCGGGAAAGGATTTTTAATCGCCGCGTAGTTTCCATCAACTTGTCGCTACTCTCCCAACCTCCTCCCTCTGGTCCCGTCCGTGACACAGTTTACGCAAGAAACAGGCACATTATCGAAGACTCGGCGAGGTCTGGCTTCGTTAAAGTGGGAAATCGGAAGCTGGCGAATTGCATCCGACGAGAAACGACTGCAGTCAGCCGTGAACTCTGCAGACACAATGGGAACGCTTTCCTGTTTCTTAATCCGGGGGAAATTTCGGCGACTGGGACCGCGTTCTAAATGATTCCCCCCCCCCCCGCCCTCTTTATTAAAGATAAAACGCAAGTGAAATGAAATAAAAATACAAAGGAAACAAATTTCCAGAGATTTTTACACGAGCTTCTAGAGTCAAAAATCAATTAATCATTCGACAGTGGCTCAGCCTGTAATAAAGTGTCATTCAGATACTCTGCAACGCTTGAAAAATGATTAATTTACATTGAGAAAGGAAATTACAAAATTAGACTGCATTTAATAATTCTATCAGAATTATATTGTGTGTTTATAGACGGATGCATTTGATGTTAAACATTTCAGATTTTTTGACAATTTCAAGATGGTTAAGTCTAGAAAGTTTCCACGAGAAAATTATGGAGCAACATCGGTAATTTTATCATTGGTGCTGGATTGTTTCTTCTATCTTCACTTTTCCACTGGAAACTTTTGTGAACGTGGAACGAAAAAATCGGGAAATATTTGAATATTTAGCGTAGAAAAAAAAAAAAAAAACGTTCCATTTCCAACTACACCATGTTTGAATTTCGACCGTTACGTATATTGTTATTATTAATCGTCAAATTTGAAACAAATGTTAATACCAACACACAAGCAACGTAATAATGCAAAATAACGATATACAAATAATTCAACGGTATAAAATAATAACAAACAACGCAGCAATATTTAAATTTTAAAAACGAACTGTTTGTACAATTACGTTGCCGATAATTATTTAAATAAGCGTGATGCTTTCAATAATCGACTAACGCACGGAGGAGTGGGTCAGAAAGAACGAAATTTCGAGGGAAATTAACGGGGTGAAATGCTCGGTTTGATCGGGTGCTTCATACCGAGACGTACGTTTTGCTGAGAGGGGAATAAAAGGAAATAAAAATCACTCTCCCCCTCCTACGGTAATGGTGTATTTCACTGTGGTTCTGACTCGCACCGTCTGACTACTGGCACGCTCGTGCTACTGCAACTGACGTGTAACTCCAGCGATGTAACCGACGCTGCAGCTAATTTCTTTCGGAGGCAGCCAGTCAATCACGCCAATGGGGCTGGCAACTTTGTCGCACGTTGCACGTCGCCGAGCTCGAAATATCTCGTACGCGCGAATAAGAAATTTTCTGGAAACGGTTTCTCGGAAACCGGAGGGGATGCTTGGCGGAGTATTGGCCACGATTGGCCAATATTATCCCTTTGAAATTCCACGGCGAAAACGCTCCTGATACGCTGGCCAAACGAATCCACGGCGAGCTGCAAATATTTCCCGATCGTGGTAAATATTTAAACGCGCACGGCGAAGGTACACTGTGCTATACGGTGCGTGGTGTTTCCTCGGATCGACGATGTTTCCTCGTGAATTACACGGCAATTCATCGAGCCACTCGTCACTATAATGAGATACATTAGCAACCGGCCGATCGATCGACGAAAATCTCTCTCTCTCTCTTTCTGAACTGTTCTTACGACAAGACCGGTCTTTATGAAAGTTCCGTAAAGATTTTGTCGCGGACTTTTCATTTGAATTTTAGCCAGCGTAATTTTACAATGATATATCGTTGTAAGTATCGAAAGTATCGACACCTTAGGTCCGATATATTTCGTCCATTTGTGAAACAATTTTGTAATTATCGTTCGTCCGATTTGAAGATCCGACCTTTTAAAAATTTGATGCATATAATTTTTATTTTATTAAATGCAAACGAGGTAGAAGAACGTCCAACTTAATAATTCAGTAACACTTTACATTCATTCGTGAAACGTGAAATATAAAAACGAAATGAAACAAACAACGCAACGATAATACAAAATGAGCGAAACCATGAGATCACAACGAAATAAATTTAACAAACATTGTAACAAACATAATCAAAATATAAAATACAAAATATACAACAACAAAATTATATTAATATTACAATATAAATATAAGTGATAAGTGATAAAAATATGAAATGACGCGAGACACAAAAATAAATAAGATACCCAGAAAAACATAAGAAATATAATACAAAAAAAAATAAAATAAATATAATACACACATATATATATATAAAATAATATAAAATAAATATAATATATATATATATAAAATAATATAAAATAAATATAATATATATATATATAAAATAATATAAAATAATATACAATAAATATATATATAAAATAATATAAAATAAATATAATATATATATATATAAATAATATAAAATAAATATAATATACATATACATAATATAAAATAAATATAATATACATATACATAATATAAAATAAATATAATATACATATATATATATATTATATATATTATATGTATATAATGCAATAATAAATATGATAAAATACAATTGCGAGGAGATCCAAGGGCAAACAAAGAGCGACAAAGCTGAGGGCGCGTTAAAATGAGAGATCTAACGAGGAAATAAGTTTCGAACGCGAAGGGAAACGCGAAGCGGGGGTGGTGGCGGGGAAGTTCATTTAATCAACCGGCCGCGGTGACAAGCCGGCAGATGAAAGGTAATACTTTAATGTAATTTAAGACGGCGAGAAGCAGAGCGAGATATTTTTCTGCGCGGGAAACGTCACGCGGGACAGTCGAATGAGAAAAAGCTGGGAATTTTTCCACGAAAATTCTGTTCGGAAGGGAAATTGTTCAGAGGGGTTGGAAGGTTCTTCACTCGTTCCGTGGAAAGTTCGAGGGAGGGAGGGGGGAAGGAATCGTCGTGCGACATGTCACGCGAAGGATACCTTGAAGGATATCACGCTAAGGGGAAACTAATGCATTTAAACGAGACATTTGCAGGTAAGATGCGTCCCCGAGGGTTTATTTAACGCCGTATAATTCTCTACATAGACATTAAAGCCCTTTGAACGGCGGTTCGGTCGTGTTAGCAAAATTCTGTAACTCTGTAACTTCTGTGATAAAATTTTGCAACTCCATTTTAACTATCGCTGTACGTGTTAATTGTAGTTGCGTTGTGTTGTAACTTTTGAATATCGTCGCAATTATTAATATAAGTAATTAGTGAATTATTGTGATACTGTAATATTAATATAAGAATATTGTATTAATATAAATATATTAATATAAGAATATTGTAATATTAATATAAGAATATTGTATTAATATAAGTATATTAATGTAAGAATATTGTATTAATGTAAGAATATTGTAATATTAATATAAGTATATTAATATAAGAATATTGTAATATTAATATAAGAATATTGTATTAATATAAGTATATTAATATAAGAATATTAATATATTAATATAAGAATATTGTATTATTAATATAAGTATATTAATACAAGAATATTGTAATATTAATATAAGTAATTTGTGAATTATTGTAATATTGTAATATTGATATAAATAATTTGTGAATTATTGTAATATTTTAATATTAATATAAGTAATTTGTGAATTATTGTAATATCAATATAAGTATATTAATATAAAAATATTGTAATATCAATATAAGTATATTAATATAAAAATATTGTAATATTAATATAAGTATATTAATATAAAAATATTGTAATATTAATATAAATATATTAATATAAGTATTGTAATACAAGTAAATTGTGAATTATTGTAATATTGTAATATTAATATAAATAATTTGTGAATTATTATAATATTGTAATATTAATATAAGTAATTTGTGAAGCATTGTAATATTAATATAAGTATATTAATATAAAAATATTTTAATATTAATATAAGCATATTAATATAAGAATATTGTAATATTAATATTACAGTAATTTGTGAATATCGTCGTAATTATTACTATTGTAATATTATAATATAACGCGGTATATTATACTGTAGCGTATACTCTATTATGTATTATAATATTAATAATATGCTTTTATATAATATAATACTGTACATTGTTGTTATCATATCATATTATTAATTGTGTTCAAAATTTATAAACATTGCGTTGTTCAAGTTCGCATATATTTACAAACATTATGTTGACGTAAATGGTGGTTTGATTAAAATTGTTTCTAACATATCGAAATTTAGAAAAATGAATATAAATTATGTATGTAAATTGTAAATTATTCGAGAATCTTTCGATCATAGTAAAATGGAAGGAGCCGCGCGAAGTTTGGAAAAAAATTATTTCATCACATTAACTGAAACTGGAGAAATTTCCTGACAACTGAGAAGTTACGATGACACTCATAATTGAACAGGAAAATTGATTACCAATGCCGTCATCGTTATAAATACTGCAAATTCCAGGATTTTATTCCGGTAATAATTCGTTCTCGATTGAAACCGTCACCGTGCCCGAA